TAATAATCAAGCTTGTAGTCATGTTAGTTAGATTTTCTAGATATATAGAGATATATTTCAGTTATATAGGCATTCTTCATATCTTTCAACGGCTGCAGAATATGGCATTTAATGTTTTAATAACTTAGGGTTTTCCAGGACAATGAGACACATCTGCTCCTGGCAGCACCAATCTACTTCAATAGGAAGATGGGCATTGAAGAGGCTCCTTATGGAGTTGGTTAGACATTTGGGCAAGAAACTGATCTTGCCTGGACTGTTGCATAAACTGGACACAAAGAACCCACAGAGAGAGGACTGCTCAACTTGCCTAAAGGTGAGATGGTCTTTCTGGGTTCCTGACTCATGAAAGAGTCTGTGAGACATTCTGCAGGATACAGCAGATAGTGACTGAACTGCCTTTGAAATTTCCTGCTTCATGGAAATGTCTTCTGGATACTATGGGCCTGTAGGCTGAAGATGGATGCTCCAATGGTACAAAAGAACTTTGGGTGACTGTACAGACAACGAGATGTCTCTGTCATTTCTAGAATTTTAGAAGTTGCTTACTTCTTGTTTACTTAGGTAATATATCCTTTTGGAGTCTTTGATGGAGTTGAAGAATAGATAGATAGTTATTGTTTTCCTTAGTTATGATAAAATATAAAATAGATATAAATATTGTGTAATTCTTACTTGATAACTGTTTTGTTATATGTAATTTTACTATGTTAAAGATAAAGCCTTCTTTTTTGTTTAAACAGAAAAAGGGGAAATGATGTGAGAGTGTCATCTATCTGTTGCTTTCATTGGTTAATTAATAAAGAAACTGCTTGGCCTTTGATAGGCAAGGCCTTAGGTAGGTGGAGTAGACAGAACAGAACTCTGGGAGAAAGAAAGCCAAGTCAGGCAGTTGCCATGACTCACCTCTCCGAGATGGATGCCAGTTAGACTCGTCCCGGTAAGCCACACTCAAGTGGCAATACGGATATTAGAAATGGGTTAGATCAATATGTAAGAGCTAGCCAATAAGAGGTTATAACTAATGGGCCAGGCAGTATTTAAAAGGACACAGTTTCTGTGTAATTATTTCAGGTAAAGCTAGCCGGGTGGTGGGTGCAGCCCTCTGCTCCTTCTACATTAAACTTTTTTTTGTTTTGTTTTGTTTTAATTTTTTTTATTGAGAAAAGGAAAAAAAAAGTTTCCGCCTCCGCCCAGCCTCCCATTTCCCTCACATTAAACTTTTAAAATTATTCAAATAGCAGAAGAATAAAATCTCGTTAAAGTCAATCACAGAGAGTATTTGAAGAATAAGGAAAACTTTTTTTCATCAGTACCACCCCAGAGGCAACTTTAAAGCCAACAGCATTGTGGATCATTCCAGAAATTTTCCCATGCATGTACATACACATACACAATGTTTGAGGCATTTCCTTAAATTAAAATGAGGTCATAACTTATATTTTATGTCACTTAGATATTTCATCTAAAATATGACATGGAAATTTCTCTATAGAAGTACATTTTATTTTCAGTGATACAGTAGAATTTCACAGCCAAAAGATAATAGTCTATATAATCTTTCTACTACAGATGGACCATTAGGTTATTTATAATCTTCTAAAACTATAAGCATCTTTGTACAGATGTGCAAGCATTTTTGTAAGTCAAATTACTGTATCAAAGTACATTTGCATTTTAAAATTAGATATAATGGTTCCAAATTATCCAACAGAATGATTATATGTATTTAAATTCCCACCAATAATGTGTAGTAAGTTTCCCACACTCTAGTCAACATTGCATAGTATCAGTAATTTTTATAAACACATTGGGCATATACTTGATTTCTGTTTCATTTTATATTTTCCTGATTACTATTGAGAAATAGCATCATTTCATATGTTCATCTTTAGTAGATTGTGTCTTCATAAATTCTCTCATTTATCTAATATGCTATTTGTCATTTTTTTATTGATCAGTAGAAGCACTTAGTATATTATGGATATACCTCTTATTCAATACATTGCTCAAAAACACCTTAGCTATAGCAATTAGATAAGAGAAAGACATAAAAGGGATAAAAATACTAAGAAAAAATAGTCCAACTAGCCTTATTTGCAATTAACATGGCTCTTTACTTAAAAGATCCTTTTGAGTTTACTGGAAAACTCTATGACCTAATAAACACAGTGAAGTTGCAGGAGTTCAAAATAAATATAAAAAATCAGTGACCCTCATTCATACCAACAGTCTACTCCCTGAGGAAGAAATTAGAAAAAAAATACTTCATTCAAAATAACGCTCCCCAAAATTGAGTATGTAGAAATATATCTAACCAAAGAAGTGAAAGAGAAATTTTCAAGAAATTGAAAACTGAACTCACACAAGTTACTAGAAAATGGAAAAATATTTTATGTTCCTGGATAGGCAGGATTAATACTATGAAAATGTCTATAATATCAAAAATACTATACAAAATTAATGCAATACCTATCAAAATACCCATGATATTTTTCACAGGTTTGGAAAAAGCAATAAAAGATGCCACATGGAACCACAAAAGATCATGAACAGACAAAGTAGGAACAAAGTTGGAAATATCATAAGACCCAACCTCAAGTTATCCCATAGAGTAATGGTGATAAATAAAGCCTGGTACTGGCATGAAACATGCAGGTAGATCAATGGGATGGAATAAAGGACCTAGAAGCAAAACAGCCAAGCTATGCTGGCTTAATTTTTGACAAAGGAAGCATACTTTAGCCAACTCAACAAATGATGCTGGCAAAAGTGAATTTCTAACTGCAGAAGAATGAAATTATATTTACACCTTTCATCTTATATAAAAAATCAATTAAAACTGATCAAAGACCTTAGTTTAAAGCCTGAAACACTGATGATTTTAAAATAAAAAGAAGGAGATACCATTTTAAGATATTTGGATAGTTAAGAACTTTTAAAATAGAGTATCAACAGCACAAGAGCTAACCCCAAATATCAACAAATGAGACTACATGAATATAAACAGTTTCTGCACATCAAAGAAGAGAGTCAGCAGTTAACAGGCAACAGCATTAGAGCAAATCTTTACCAGCTACACTTCAGACAAAGGATTAATATCAAGAATTTACAAAGAATTACAGAAATTAAATACCAAGGAAGTAAAGCTGTCAACCAACAAGTGAGCAAATGAACTGAACAAGTTTTTTTTTTACAAAAAAAAGAAATATAAAGAGCCAATTATCATTTTAAAAAGTGTTCAATGTCCCAGATCATCAGAGAAATGCAAATTAAAGGTACTTAGAGATATCACCTCACTCCAGCCAGAATGGCTGTCATCAACAAATCTGAAAAGTGTTGGGAAGGTTGTGGAGAAAAAGGAGTCCTTGTTCATTGCTGACAGGGGTGCAGTTGAATTCAGCCATTGTAGAAATCAGTTTGGAGATCTCTTTGCACCCCATTGTTTGTTGCTGCTTCATTTATCTACTTTATTGTAAGGAATTGAAATCAACTTAGTTGTCCATCAACAGATGACTGGATAATGAAAATTCAGCATATATATAAAATGGAATAATACTCAGCTCTAAAGAAAAATTAAGTTAAAAATTCACAAGATGGATGGGCTTCTCAGAAATAAATAGAATCTCTCACATGCATAATCTAACCAATAATATGTACACATGAATACATGTCGGGACATTATAACATGAAGAAAAGAACAAGAAGGGCTAAGTATAAAGGAATGAAGAAGTACTGAATATGAGAAATGAACATGAGTTATGAAAGATGATATAAAGCCAATCATTTTTCTAGTTCTAATTCCATAAAACATTTTTGGGGGTTTGGTGGTGAATAAGTGCTTAAAATATATTTGATAGCAGAAGTGTAAAATTTAATGTGAAACATCATAGCTTCATTTCTGAATGATTGTTCAAACTGAACAGAAGTTTGACCCTGGTTAATTTTGTTGTGTGATGTTTTTAATTATTTGTAAGTTTTTAAAATAAAGCTTATTAGAGCATTAATTGTCTTTTTACATGTATTATAAATATTGTTTCCAAAATATTTCTTGTCTTTTCATTTTGCTTCATGAGTCACACACTCAAATAATTACAAGAACCAGAAAGGTAATAATTTTGTGATTCTGACAAGATATAAAACAATAAATTTTCTTTATTCATTTCCACCTGATGATTTAAACATGCATGTTAAAAGCTCTTTACATGGTATTTTAGATGCATAGTCCCCCATCAGTTTGAGATCTAGATTTTAGTAAACTTCTGTTATTATTATTCAGATGCCTTTTGTTGTTGATATTTTTTCACATGTTTTATATTGTAAAATGTGTCAGTGTTTTATGTTTTGGCTTCTAGATTTTTTTTTTTAGTATCTGGCTTATGATGGAATTGTGTGTATATACATACACATCACACAATATACATGTATGTGTACTGTTAATGGGAGTGCAGGGGCCCTTTGTTCTTTCTGCCCCCTTGGCTAGCTTAACCCCTGAAATAATCATACAGGAACTGTATTCATTTAAACCCTGCCTGGCCCATTATTTCTAGCTTCTTATTGGCTATCTCTCACATATTAGTTTAACCCATCTCCATTAATGTGTATCACCACTTGACTGTGGCTTACCGGTATGAGTCTAACCAGCATCCATCTAGGGCAAGAGAACCATGGCATCTCCCACTCTGCCCTTCTTCCCAGCATTCAGGCCTGTCTACTCTGCCTATCTAAGTTCTGCCCTATCAAAAGGCCAAGGCAGTTTCTTTATTCAACCAATGAAAGTAACATGTAGACAGAAGGACCTCCTACACCAGTATACATATATACATACATACGCGTATATATGTATGCATAATGTATATATATATATATATATATCTTTAGTTAACTTGCAAATAGGTGCCAAGAAGAGATAATACATAGATTGTATTTTCATCCATTGTTGACTGTTTCTTCAACTATTGTTGACTTAGCTGTGTAATTAAACAATGTAATCTCCACAGAGTGAGAGACCTTGGAACACTCTGCCTTAAATGGGATGTCTCCATCACATCCCTTCCCTCCAAGCTCACGGAACCCCTTGGAAGAGGAGGGAGAAAGAGTTTGAGAGCCATTGAGGATGGAGAACATCAAGGAAAAAAGGTCCTCTGAATCAACATGAGCAAACTTCATATGAGCTCATAGAAACTGAAGCAGCATGCAGGGCCTCCTTGGATCTGTGCCAGGTCCTTCATGTATATATCATGGCTTCTAGTTTAGTGTTTTTATAGGATCCCTGGATGTGAGAATGAGAGGATTTCTGATTCTTGTGTTTTTTCTTGGGCTCTTTTCTTTCTGTTTGTTTGTCTTGTCTAATTTAGATGTGATAGCTTTTGTTTTATCTTATTATATTTTATTTTGTTATATTTGTAAAAATGAATGAAAACATAGCTACTAGAATAAAGGTTAGTGACTGAATTGTTGTCTGTTGTACCTGCTGGGAGAAGGAATAAAATCAGTTTTTTCCAATGACACCGAGTATATTAACCACTCCAGGGCAGGCTTCATGTTCAGGAATAGTTTTGGTTAACATATAATGAACCCCACAGGTATTTTTGTTTGCTTTTATTTGATTATAATTTGTTGGTTTTGTTTTTGCTTTCTTTTGGGGTCTTGTTTTATTTTGTTTTTTTTTTTTTTTTTTTGGTGTTGGGTTTGTCGCTGTTGTATCCAATTTCTGTTGCTTTTCTATGGAAGAACTTTAAGCTTGGTGGGTTGAGAAGGGGAGAGGATTGAGAATGCCTTGAGTAGGAGAAGAATATAATCAATACATATTTAAATTTAAAAATTGTTTAAATAATAAAAAGTATAATAAACTAGATGTAATCAGACACATACATATTTTTGTCTTTGTTTCCTGTACTTTTGGAGTCATATCAGAGAAATCATTGCACAGATAAATACATGTTATTCTTGTAATTTTACAGTTTAATGCCTTATGTTTAATTTTTTAATCTACTTGAGTTTTTTAGTATGTAGTGTGAATAAGGATACAATTGCCTTTTTCTGTTTGCAGATACCAAGTTTACTCAGTGACATTTATTGAAAGGATTGTCTTTCCCCATGTGTGTTTGTAGCACCTATTAAATTAATTGTTGTTTATAGCCAAATAGAATTCAACTGTGTAAATGTATCTCATTTTCATTATCCATTCAACAGTTAGTGGACATCTACGCTGTTTCCATTTCCTAGCCATTGTGAAGGGTGAAGAATTGAACATGGATATGTAGGTATCTCTACCATATGGTATAGAATCATTCTCTTATATGTCAGAAGTAATATAATGCTCAAATTAAAAGAAGATAATATGCAAAATATTGTAGAGAGAATTCTACACTTAACTGTAGACTCTGTATGCTACCATACCAAAATGCCTGACAGAATATGCTCACTGTGCAATAGGGGCATGGAGGTTATGACAGGGTAACCAGTGGCTTCTGGAATCAAATTGAGGCCTAGCCCATAAGAAAGAATACACAGCTACTGTATATCACAACTTTTTGTCAATTTGACACAAACCAGAATCATTTGGGAAGAGGGGACTTCAGTTGACAAAATTTCTGCAACAGATTGGCCTATAGGATTTGCCTACATGTGTGGAGTATTTTCTTGATTCACAATTTATGTCATCCTGGTTAGGTGATCTTGAATTGTAAAAGAAAGCAAGTTGAGCAAGCCGTACGAAACAAGCCAGTAAGTAACATTCTCTATGGCCTCTGCTTCAGTTCCTGCCTCCAGGTTCCTGCCTTGAGTTCTTTCCCTGACTTCAGTGGGTGATGAACAACAATGGTGATCTATCCTCCCCACATTTGTTTTGGTCACAGTTATAGTGACATTTCAAATGTATTTTAATAAATAAAGACTGACTGAAGATCTGAGAGTAAAACAGTCCCACTCCTAGCCTTTCAGACCAGATTTTGGTAACACACACCTTTAATCTCAGTAGCCATAATGACACACACCTTTAATCCTAGTAGTCACAGTAGTTGCCATAGAAACTGGCCAGTGCATGCCTTTAATAAGGGTGGTGCATGTCTTTGATCCCAGCCCTAGATCAAGGTAAGAGATAGCTGCACTACTGTGTTGATATTAATGTTATTAGTAACAGCCACCATTTGATACTACACTCAATCAATAAATGGATAAGAAATATGTGTTATGTGTGAAAAATAAAATACATTTTAAAACATAAATGAAAATAAAAATGAATAAAATCATGTCATTTGTGACATGGATAAACCTGAAGGACATTACGCTATGTGAAGCACAAGATGAAAAGTACTGCATCTCTTCAATTATATTTGGAATCTGTGTAGGTGTGCATATGCATGTGCACATATACATGGTTGTGTATACATACACGTGTAGGGAGTACTTGTAGTGTGTGTGTTATTCTTAAAAAACGATGAGAGAGAGGCTACAAACGGTCCCCGGGCGGGCTGGCGGAGGGAGCCCGCCATGAGGGCGGCTACAGGAGGGCACGCTTCCTTGGCCCACGGTGGCAGCAGGTAACAGACACGTAAACACAGGAAATAGCCATAAGTATTTATTAAGGAAGGGGGAGAAAGAAAGACAGAGAAAAGAGATAAAAGGAGAGAGGAGCGACAAAAGAAGAGAGAGACAGAGAAAAACGTGTGCGCACGCTAAGGAAGCAGAAAGAGAGAGAGGGTGGTCCCAAGATGGCGATGGGCGGGTCAGAGGTTATGGGAGTGGGCGTGGCTAGGGCAGGGACCCAAGATTAACAGTGTGCATATGTTTGCAGGCTAGAGGTTGACTAGGTATCTTCCTCAGTTTTTCCACCTTATTATTTTTGGCACAAGGTCTCTCACTTATTAGTCTAAACTGGCTTGCCAGAAAGAACCAGGGGTCCTTCTTCTCTGCCTCCCAGTGCTGAGATTATAAATGTGAGTTGTTACACATGAGTACTGGCTATCAGAACTTGGATCCTTACACTTACACAGCAAGCAATTTGTCAAGCTAGCTTCCTAGTGCCTGTATGTGGAATCTTCCAAGAGTTGCACTCACAAAGCTACAGAATAGAACGAGGTTTACAAAGTCTAGATGAGTAACACCTATTTGTCAGACTCTCTTCCATAGCAGTAGGTTCTCTTGGGTTCTAGAAACCATTTATGCTGTGCTTTGGGTGCCTCCTTTTATTTTATTTTATTTTATTTTTGGTTTTTCGAGACAGGGTTTCTCTGTGGCTTTGGAGCCTGTCCTGGAACTAGCTCTGTAGACCAGGCTGGTCTCGAACTCACAGAGATCCGCCTGCCTCTGCCTCCCGAGTGCTGGGATTAAAGGCATGCGCCACCACCGCCCGGCTCTTTGGGTGCCTCCTATGGTAACAGTTATCCACTGTTGCTACACTTGGATGCTTCATTATCCTATGAGTTCCTTAACCCTGTCTCTTAACAATATCATTTAAATTCTCCTTAGTTAAACCACGTGATTATGTTACTTCTTTTCTTCCTGAACCTTGACATGATCATATAAAAGAATAGAAAAAGTATCTAATTATTTTAATGACAAAAATACATCTGTGCTGCCTGAATGGAGCTGTATTTCTAGAGGGCGGCAGCTATTGTCAAAGATGGGACAGGGAAGTAGAAAAAGAAGAGATAAAAAAATACTCTAACTTTTCCTAAATTCCAATCTCTTCCAGCTCATTAAAGAGAAAAAATATTGAAGTTAGCTACAAAGAGAGAACAGGAAAGGCAGTTTTCAGGAATTAACTAAAGAGAAGACTTAAGAACAGCATGGTGCTGGGGGACAGAGAAAAGTCAACAGAGTCTGCTAGTCCCTCTGTAAGATTAGAGAAAGGTTTCTGAATTTCCAGGCTCAGAAAAATCCCACTATCAACTGGAGACCCATGTTTCAATACATGAGCGTTTTGGGGACATTTCCTACTGAAAGCATAGCATAAACACACACACACATACTCACACATGTCCACTCCTTAGGTATATGTGAAGTCTGGAAATAAATTGCTCAGAGGTCCCCCTCTAAAAAAGCTATTTAGATTTTTTGAGTTTTACAGGGGTAAGTTAAAAACAAAGGGAAAACAGTTCATCAGTTATGCCTCAAAAGGGGTCATATTTAGTTTCTCATTCCAAGAACATAGCCTAAGAAAATGTACTGAAATGTCAACAAATATTTGTGTACTAAAATTTATATGACAGAAACTGCTGTCTGTCTTGCCAAAATCTCTCTTCTCCTTCTAGAGCAACTGTAGTGCCAAGCACATAGGTGATCAACTATGCTCATTTTTAACTTTCATTTGCTGTCTATGGTAGTGTTAGATTAAGAAACACAAGACACAGTATAAGCCACTCCTATCCCAGGGTGACTTAGAAGCAGGCATACCCCAACCCTGTATCATTTTATTTTTCTATGAATCTGAGTGTAGATGTTCTATGGATACAATTTTCAGCAACATTCACAGAAAAAAAAACACATCTGCATTCTTATATGACTTTGTTAATTAAAACTGTGACCTGACTTGAGAGAAAAACAAATTTCTCTCTCTTTTTACATTTAAGCAGCCTATTTTTTTTCTGCAGATATTGGCATTATCCCAACTAATGTACTGCGCTGCAGCGTCATCAGTATTAGGAAACTATCAAAACAATCCTAGCATTAGGGAACTTCCAGAAATGGAAAGTGCTGTAGTCCTCATAAAGGATGCTTATAATAATTCAGAGGGTTTGCTACATAAGGTAAAATGAGAGAACAGGACCCCCACACATGTACAGTGTATTATTTAGGATGCAAAGGAAGACACATTAATATTTAAGACATCTTAGTGGCTGTCCTTAGGTAAATAAATTATGGGGGAGCTTTTCTCAACTGATTCTTTTTTGTAATTTGTAATTTTTCTACAAAAATTTTCAATTTTTCTAAAAATTATAACTGTAATAATAACATTCATGATTATAGTAATGAAATCATCACAAGTAATTATATGAAAACTTGAAAAGCAATGCAAAGATTACAGAAAAATACTGACCATAGTGAGGCTACAATGCTTCTAGAGAAAACATAGAATGCAACTGTGTAAAAACTGTTCCTGCCTTTAGATGTGGACCGGAAAAGGAAATGACAAAGGATACACAGTTGCTGTGTTGGAGGCCTTAGGATGTTCCCTTGTTGGAAAGCTTTCCTTCCCTCTAATCCAATAAAACCATGGCAATTTAACCTAGTTATTTTCAAATGCTTTTACTTCCCAGGGTTGATTTATCTCACCACTAAGACTTTATTCTCAGATGTGCATAAGACTTTTGAAGATCAAGTAACTCCAGTGCTATTGTTTAGAATGTTTTGAGTTTTTTCTTCAACTTAATTTACCCTGGACCAATCACTTATTCAGATTCCAGACAGGGTAATCTGAAAATCAATCACTTCTTCAGATTCTGGACAGGGTAATCTGAAAGACAAAAAGAAGCATTGGTGGTAGCAAGTTTATTTAACCTAACATCGTGCTGGCTATTTGCCTTCATCTCCGTTCTTTGTGGGTACTACGATTCAGCTAACAGTTCAGGGCTGTTTACAAGCCAATAAAAGTGATGATGCAGGCATGCAGGCTTATCCTCTGGGAGCTGGTGATGG